AAAGAACATTGAAGCCTTTGTCCAAACCTTTTCAGACCCACAAGCATTCGCCTCTGCTGCTGCATCCTCGGCACCCGCAGCGTTGGTTCATGTAACAGAACGAGCTCGTATTCAAGAAGCGGGTCATCTTCGATGCAGGTTTACTCGAACCCCTTCGAGAAATTATGCTCGTATTCTCATGCCCATTTAATCTTACTCTAATTTTCCATAATTGTTAGTGGAGCTGAAATTGGAAGATTTATTACAATGCTTCGAAATCCATCACCTACACTAAAAGCATGTGCAGCATTTGCTCTTTTACAGGTACATACAGATTTAGTTCATAGTATTTCTTCTGATTATCTTGCACGATTTTTCTTCAATCCTCATACTCTTCGATATACAGTTTACGATCCCAGGGGGTCGGCATGCCTTACACCACGCAAGCCTTATGCAGAATGCAGGAGCATCGAGAGCCCTGCGTACGGCAGCTGCAGCAGCAACTGCTCCATTGCAAGCCAAGATCTTTGCTAGAATTGTTCTTAGAAACTTAGAGCATCACAACATTGAATCTTCCCTTTAATGACAAGTTCAATATAAATCTCCAACAGATGCTGACTTCTTGTGCAACTCATCTCATGGAGCTTAAATGAGCTGCATGGCATGCCCGACCGAACCAGTCGCGCTTGTAAATGCCCCGTTAATCATATACCGAGTTTCTGTTGCCAAGTAGTTCACGAACGATGTGGTTCGCCTTCTCAGCTTCAATGTTACTTCCTGGTGTACAACTTTTATCAGAGGCATCAAAAAGGTCGTTTTCAAAGCATGTTCTTCCTGTATGCTCGGTCCCGTTCTAGTAGAGTTCATATATACCGATGGTACTTTATGCAGGGAGTCGAAAAGAATCACGTTACCTTGAAACCTTTTTTTTTTTTTTTTTTTGTTAATATTGGTTTTGATGATATTTTGCTTGTAATGATAGAAGTTCTAAATATGCTAAAGATTGTACAATGTTTAGCTCTCATTTTTGCAGTTGGAGTGGTTGAAGATGAATTGAGGATGTTTAGTTACTCAACTTTATTTAATTAAATGTCTATCCATTTGAAGGTGGAGTTGTTGAATAAATGGTGTGATTTTAATGAATTGCGATGAAAATAATGTTCGGGAATAGAATGCTTGAAAATTAAATAACTGTGTTTTAACCCAGCTAACGAATCATTCATGTGAATTTTGGACTTTGCAGATAATATCGACGTGTGCTTGAGCCTCGGGTAGAGAAATGTTTGGAAAGCGTGATCAAGAAGGTATATTGAAAACAATTTTAAAGAAAGCAACGTTACGAGCTAAAAGTGAGTAATCAACGACAATGACTTTGTTAGCATATAACTTAAGTAGGAAGAATGGACAACTAGCTACATTCGAAGTTCTTATTTTAAGCTCTTGTGTTCATAATGCATCAACCATCTTAAATATCCATGTGCTTGAATCTTCACCACAACTTTGCTTACATGCATTGTTGCCAATGTGACTTTTGTTTCTTTTGCAAGGGTAGTGTGGCATGAAAGTACTGTTCGAGTTCGAAGATAAAGTTCTCTAGAGGCTTGGCATCTCGAACCCCACCGAAGGGCTTCGCCTCAGGGATCTCTATCTTGTTGAATTATTCTACGCGTCCAGTTGGGGTTTGGTTTCCCACTCTAATAGTGAGGTTTAATCTAGCGTTTAGATCCACCACTTCAGCCTAAGGACGACTCTCAAATCTTTAGACATTTTCTGAGATCATCTAAACGATCACTTATTAGGCATTGTCTAAGCGCTCGATGCATTCTTCTATGTGGGCATTAAAGCCCATCGAGCTATCCCTACGCTCGAAGCCAATAACAGTTGTGGCAAAAATATCATGTATCATTCGTTAATTTCTTCGATGATAATTACAATAAAAAATTAAAAACATATTATTCATAATATATTTACAAGTGAATGAAAAATAAATTAGTTAAAATTATTTTAATAATTTTACTTAATAAAAAATTAATCGAAGTAACCACAATTAATTCCCTAAAATTGATTAGTATAATAAAATTGTTAGAAATACTTACCATAAACTAAAAATATATATTATTGATTTATATAAAATTATGACAGCAATATCTTTACTTGATTCTCAAATATTTTATTCTCATAAATTCTATTTCTAATTCTACAAAATTTAAAATTTAAGATCGTAATGCCTAAATTTGTAATTTAAAAATTTTATGGACCAAATGGATAAAATTTTTGAAATTAAGTGATAAAATTGATAATTAAACTTAATTTAGATGATTAAGATATTGATTAGGTGATGGGTGAGTAATAAGGATAATAGTATGCAGAAGCGGAATGAATTTGATTGTGGATGCGGGAGGGGTTTAATTTGGACACTGTGACCAGACAGATCAATCAGGAATGGAAGATCATGTGAAAATACGGGGCGGTAGACCCCATGATTAATACATGATGGGGTCCATTTTTTGCATCATAAAACTATATAATGAAACCAAAATTGGCGGTGTTTCTGTTTTGTTCTGGCGTAAATTCATCCCACGTTCTGACTGTACAGTTTTCGCTCAATTCCGTTCACTTTCTTCCTCTTTTGATTCATTTTTCCCCTTGATTTCGCCGGATCTGACTTCATCTAGTCGTCGTCCGGCTATCCCTAGCCTCCGTTGCGTTCGATTCACTCGCCGATCGACGAGTTCGGGTAGAAGAACTGTTCGAAATCGATTCACCCCCAAACCAGGTTGGTTCTTCCTTCACTCGTTCGAAGAGTGAGAATCGGGAAGAGGATTTTCTTTTTGGCTCTTGAAAGTGTGAACTTGTTGCCACAGTTCAGTCGACATGGCACTATTCTGATGCTCGAGAAATTTAATTAATAATACGTTTCAGTTTTCGAGTTCTTTTTTTTTTTTTTTTTTTTTTTTTTTTTT